CACCTACCCGTCACCTTGCGTTCTACATCTTATCACCTTTGAGGTGGACGCGCACACCCGTCTCAGAGCAACGCGCTTTATTTTCTAAGGCAACTGCCAGATGGCGCTTATGTCTCACGTGTGACGTGACTTTATGCGCTCGTTCGCCTCCGCTGCACGCTCGAGGCACTGTAACGCAGCGCCTCCGAAATACCATTCAACGATTTTCTTACGCAGGACATGAAATAAATGTCTTGTTCACTCTCTCCACACGCAAGACTATCGTCTTTCGACGACATTTGCAGATTACATGCAGATACGGGGCCAATTTTTTCGTTAGCATATTCTCACGGGGTCGATAAAAAGCTTCAATATAACTTGCTCAATCTCAAATGTAATGTTTATTAGATTACGATAAAAGTGGAGAATACAATGAAACCACAGTCGCGTTTACTCAGCACGACATCTCTGTCATAATTTTACATATCTTGTGTTCGTTGCCTTGTTGTAAAATGGCATAGCCAGCACTGTAACCACAATTGAAGGTGCGCTGACCTTAAGCCTGCATAGTTTCTTTTTCCAAGACAGTTTCAGAACCTGAGTTGGCTCTGTGGTAGAATACCTAATTTCCATGCAGAACAATTGAGTTCTACTCCTGCTGAAATTGTGACTTCTTTATTTTTGCATTCATTGATTCTATGTTGCCGATGTCTATTTCTCTTAACGCTCTTACTTTTAAATTGCTAGTCATTTTCCTCATCATTTCAGGATAAGATATAACGTATCACCTGTGACACATATCCGAGTACCACAGCCATTTTTATATGTATACGTGTCACACGTGTTTGAAGTAAAGAGTTGGAGGATGTACGCAACAGAATCTTCCCTTCAATGATGTCGTGAAAAGGTTGCCTGAAAAGTGACATGTCGATGTTTCATCTATATAGGTATATACGGGTAGACTCACTTTTCTGTACGCCTGGTTCGGTTGTACATGACTCCACGGCCGCGATTTGGTTGACGTCTGCATCAAGCTCAATCCGTATTGGGCTGGGCCCTGCAACAGAGACAAACTTGTTGATCGTAATCTAGAATCAAGGAGGCGCTAAAATCTACCTTTTGTAGAATATAACCGTGTGGTAGTTTCCCCTTATCAACTATACGGACGTGGCAATGCACGCTTTAGTATAGACAATAGCTAACACGCGCTTTACAGGAACTAAAAGCTAACAGCGTGGTAGATTCCCCTCACCAACTGTACAACTGTGGCGGTGCACGCTTTACAGGAAGAAAAAGCTAACACGTTCTTTACAGGGACTTGAATCTAACAGTGTGGTAGTTACCACTCACCAACTCTCCAACTGTAGTGGTGCACACTTTACAGGAGACAATCGCTAACACTGGCTTTACAGGAACTAAAAGCTAACAGTGTGGTAGCTTCTCCTTACCAACTGTACAACTGTGGCGGTGCACGCTTTACAGGAGGAAATAGCTAACACTCGCTTTACAGGAACTAAAAGCTAACAATGTGGTAGCTTCCCCTAACCTACTGTACAACTGTGGAGATGCACGCTTTACAGGAAACAATAGCTAACCCTCGCTTCACAGGAACTAAAAGCTAACAGTCTGATAGCTTTCTATCATCAACTGTACAACTGTGGTGGTGCACGCTTTACAGGAGACAATAGCTAACACTCGCTTTACAGGAACTAAAAGCTATCAGTGTGGTAGCTTCCCCTCATCAACTGTATTTTTGTTCAGATACACGTTAACAGGAAACAATGGCTAACGTTTGCTTAACAGAAACTAAAATCTAACAATGTGATAGCTTCGTCTCACCAACTGTACAACTGTAGTGGTGCACGCTCTACAGGAGACAATAGCTAACATTCGCTTTACAGAAACTAAAAGCTAACAGTGTGGCAGCTTCCCCTCAACAACTGTACAACTGTGGAGATGCACGCTTTACAGGAAACAATAGCTAACACTCACTTTACATGAACTAAGAGTTAACAGTGTGGTAGCTTCCCCTCACCAACTGTACAGCTGGGGCGGTGCACGCTTTAGTGGAGACCATAGCTAAGATTAGCTTTACTGGAAACTAAGAGCTAACAGTGTGGTAGCTCCCCCTCACAAACTGTAAAACTGTGGCGGTGCATGCTTTACAGGAGACAACAGCTAACACTCGCTTTACAGGAACTAAAAGCTAACAGTGTGGTAATTTCCACTTACCAACTCTACAGTTGTGGAGATACACGCTTTACAGGAAACAATAGCTAACACTCACTTTACATGAACTAAGAGCTAACAGTGTGGTAGCTTTCCCTCACCAACTGTACAGCTGTGGCGGTGCATGCTTTAGAGGAGACCATAGCTAACACTCGCTTTACGGGAACTAAAAGCTAACAGTGTGATAGCTTCTCCTCACGAATGTACAATTGTGGCGGTGCATGCTTTACAGAAAGAAATAGCTAATGCACTTTACAGGAACTAAAAGCTAACAGTGTGGTAATTTCCACTTACCAACTCTACAGCTGTGAAGATACACGCTTTACAGGAAACAATAGCTAACACTCACTTTACATGAACTAAGAGCTAACAGTGTGGTAGCTTCCCCTCACCAACTGTACAACTGTGGCGGTGCATACTTTACAGGAGACAATAGCTAACACTCGCTTTACAGGAACTGAAAGCTAGCAGTGTGGCAGCTTCCCCTCACCAACTGTACAACTGTGGCGGTGCACGCTTTAGAGGAGACCATAGCTAACACTAGCTTTACAGGAACTAAAAGCTAACGGCGTGGTAGCTCCCCCTCTCCAACTATACAACTGTGGCAGTGCACGCTTTACTGGAAACAATAGCCAACACTCGCTTTACAGGAACTAAGAGCTAACAGTGCGGTAGCTTCCCTTCACCAACTGTACAGATGTTGAGATGCACGCTTTACAGGAAACAATGGCCAACACTCGCTTTAAATGAACTAAAATCTAACAATCTGACAGCTTCCTCCCACCAACGGTACAACTGTGGTGGTGCACGCTCTACAGGAGACAATAGCTAACATTCGCTTTACAGGAACTAAAAGCACACAGTGTGTTGGCTTCCCCACAACAACTGTACAACCTTGAAGTTACACGCTTTACAGGAAACAATAGCTAACACTCACTTTACATGAACTAAGAGTTAACAGTGTGGTAGCTTCCCCTCACTAACTGTACAGCTGTGGCGGTGCACGCTTTAGAGGAGACCATAGCTAACACTCGCTTACAGGAACTGAAAGCTAACAGTGTGATAGCTTCCCCTCACCAACTGTACAACTGTGGCGGTGCACGCTTTACAGGAGACCATCGCTAACACTCTCTTCACAGGAGCTAACAGCTAAGAGTGCGGTAGTTTCTACTTACCAACTCAACATCTGTGGTGGTGCACACTTTATAAGAGACAATAGCTAACACTCGCTTTACAGGAACTAAAAGCTAACAGTGTACTAGCTTCCCCTCACCAACTGTGGAGATACATGTTTTACATGAAACAATAGCTAACACTCACTTTACAGAAACTAAAAGCTAACAGTGTGTTAGCTTCCTCTCACCAACTGTACAACTGTGGTGGTGCATGCTTTACAGGAGGAAATAGCTAACACTCGCTTTACAGGAACTAAAAGCTAACAGTGTGATAGCTTCCTCTCACCAACTGTACAAGTGTGGTGGTGCACGCTTTACAGGAGACAACAGCTAACACTCGCTTTACCGGAACTAAAAGCTAACAGTGTGGTAGCTTCCCCTAACCTACTGTACAACTGTGGAGATACACGCTTTACAGGAAACAATAGCTTACCCTCACCTAACAGGAACTAAAAGCTAACAGTCTGATAGCTTCCTATCACCTACTGTACAACTGTGGAGATACACGCTTTACAGGAAACAATAGCTTACCCTCACCTAACAGGAACTAAAAGCTAACAGTCTGATAGCTTCCTATCACCAACTGTACAACTGTGGTGGTGCACGCTTTACAGGAGACAAAAGCTAACACTCGCTTTACAGGAACTAAAAGCTAACAGTGTGGTGGCTTCCCCTAATGTGTGGCGATGCACGCTTTACAAAAAAAAACGCTAAGTGTGGTAGCTTCTCCTCACTCATACATATTGTGTGGCGGTGCACGCTTTACAGTAGAGAAAAACTAAAAGTGAAAGTGCAGTGGGAAAGTCCCATTCCTATCGGTCCTGACAGCGATGTGTCCGTGTGGCAGTAGTATTAAAGTGTTTTGGGCGAGCTTATGATGCCAAGCAAGACAACAACGAATCCGCAATGATACGGCATATATTACCTACGATTACGATACTGTTTAACACAAATTATGATCTCAGCTTCGTGCTGCGGTAAAAGCCAGCCGTGTTTGAAGTTTTGTACTTCCACAAGATATCAGCATCACTCATAATTTTTGTGAGGTAGGACAGCACCCACTGCGCCATTATTCGTCTTTCTGCGGATACACATCTCTAAGGTATTGTGCGCACTTTTCTGACTGCTCCATGTGGCTTAGGATGATGAATTATGGCTGATCACTTTGCACTGGGCGGGAAGCATTAAATCACACGTTCGTTGCGCAGTTTCACACGTTCGTTGCGCACTTAGCATTGCGTGATGACAGGTTGTTTTACCCTTCTGCCATGCTATATTAAATTGATTAACGCGAAATTTCGTTCGACATGAAGCCTGCATGAATCGTTTTTGCAAATTAGTTTTAAGCGCCAGCATTGGCCAGTGACAAATTACTCGACTGCCGCGCCGAAAGCCCATGTTCAACTCTCGTTCAATCCTGTGTATTTTTCTCTCATTTGATTTATATATGTCCATCGGTTACGCCACTGACGGCAACAGAGATGCCACTTAACACAGGAAACACAACAAGGGCTGCCTAAACGTTGCGCTCTAAAACAGAGTGCGTAGACTCGCAGGCAATGTAGCACTGTTTCTTGCAACTTGGCTGTAACGTTGGCGCGCACCTCTATACTGCAGCTGTACGAAGACCTGGTGGGCTACGTGATGAATCGGTATCTCAAGCTCGCCGGACGGAACCCCGAGCTGTACTCGGAGCACATCCCGGGCATGCAGCGCAGTGCTTCGGCTTCAAGCACCCAGCCGCTGGTAGTGCCGCCTTTCTACGACGACGACAACAGCAGCGACAGCAGCGACTGTAGCGACGAGGGCGACGATAACGCGCTCTACTGGTGCTTCCTGCAGTTCGAGTACGATAGCGACCCCGTCGGCCAAATCGTCGAGCACCTGCGCCGGAACGACGTGCATCGCACCCGTAGAGAGGTACGCTGCAGAACCATGCGAGCTGTGCCAGTTCGTAACGCTTTAAATCTGAGTAGCACTGAATGACGAAAGGTTACACGTCGCGATTCTGCCACACGCTACGAGAAAGGAACACCTAAAGACAGTTGAAGTAAGTCAGTGAGGGAGGAGGGGGGCAAAGCAGGGCGTGAAGATTGTTTTCGTTCGCTTTGTTAACATCGCAGTTGTAGTTTTGTCTATTTGTTTTAATTTCTTTTCTTTTTTTTGCACTGTTTCCATCACAACGGTACTCAGCTTGGCCAGTCACGGCAACAGCTATATTTTGCTCTGCTTTCCGCCTTTATTTTCTCATTCCTTTTGCCCTAGCGTTGGTTTCTCTCACTCATTCCCTCTACCAATGTCTTGTCAATTTTTCCCTCTATTTTTATCAATCAATCAATCACACAATAATCAATTTTCTGTGAAAAGCGGGACACCATGGACAAGGAACGTTGCATTGTTCGCATCTATATCTTACAAGTTTCATCTGGCCATATTGTTGCTGTTACTTAAGATGAGGATGCAATTATTGAGTTTTATAGAAACTATATGTATTGCATATACGCTATTAACCCTTGGTATGCGGTACGTAGTCATAGCATCCTACTTGAAATCAGCAGAACCAAATGCGTTGTAAAACAATGACAAAACGGTGACGATCTATCTCACAACGATTAACAATATCGAGACATTAAGCTTATTTTTTTTCCTGTTCAGGCTCAAGGATACTGAAGATATATAAAAATAAGAGCTTACGAACGCCAACATGTGGTCCAAGTCAGGAACTGCCAAAGTAAACCATTTCATTATATCTTGCTTCCAGATACTCAACCAACTGAAGTGCAAGCGCATCATCTCGAATACTCAGTGTGAAAGGTTGGAAGAAAAAGAAAAACAGGTGAGAACAGAACCAAACACACTAGATTTCATCGTTTCATGACTAGTTAGAATATTAGACGCAGAATTTAAACTGTTTTATCTTCTTCCAGTTTCTTGAAAATTATTCAAAGCCTAAGGAACAACTGGAAACTCAAAACATGGAGAGCGAGGAGCGATCAGAGATCACAGACCTGGTACTCAAGCTTAAAGGCATGGGATTTGAACATCAGCTCCAGTGGATTCAGAAAAAGTTCTTGGAAGTATGCTACGTCAAGCTAAGTAAGCAATCCACCACTGCTGCTTACCACAAGTATTATGTCATGACGTTCTAAATGGAATTGAACATGTTTAGTATACCACCTGCTGCTTTATTTCCGACTGACTCAAGTTTTCAGATCATTCATTGTATGTCCCCATCACCAGGTAGTTCTGACCCCTGTTGCGATATTTTTAGTGGCTGCTGGAACGTGTAGGCGTGAGCTGCATTACATGGCCAACTGTGCTGTCAGAAATGGCAACAGTTGGGAGCGGGACTTGTTTCGCAACCAAGAGCAACGTACCCCATTGTTACACAATTCCGATGCACTTTCGAATCTTCACTATACCCATACATGTCCATGCTGTGAGGCGAATAGCTAAGCATACTTGTAGTGATAGACACTTGTTCGGCATAAGCAGTGTTGTTTTGCTTTGACGCTAGAAACGTGAAAAAGCGATAGGAATTGGTATAAAACGAAAGTGAAGCGTGTCATCATAAAATTGGAGCTTGCGCAATGTCTATTGGTGGTCAGCAGCTGTGACACCATGTGACGTCAATGCATCCACGCTGACGCCTAGTGGCACATCTCCACCACGACGACTGATGCCCATGATCATAATTTAGCCGTTGTGGTATAGACGTTTCTTTCGTAGGCGCCGCCATCTTGCTAGCGGGCGGCCCTTTTCTGGTCTGGCAACCCATCTGGCACGCGGGAAGTTCGCTGTTTGCATAGAAGGTAAACGCGCGGCTGCGGTTTTATCATTTCTCTGTACTTTTTACGCGGTGAATTTCGACTGAAGCAATGCAGGTTTTTTTATAAAATGAGTCTATGAGACGTTCCGACAAGCTTCAAGTCGTTGAGGGTCAATAGCGTTATTACACAGCGCCGCGAACGAGTCCGCCTCTGTTGACGCAATATATTCACAGCACAATATGCGCAATATCTTCAGGTGTTTCTTTTCCAGAATGAGCAACAGCACTTCGAGAGCACAGTGAATATTTTATTCTTGAGCTCTACTCATCCGCTTTTCTAACAAGATTTTTTACGCCACGTCGTCACATCGGCTACCACCACTCTTGCATGAAGTGCAAGAAGTGCATTGAAGTGTAGCGGTTCGTTTTTATTTCGTGGCACTGACGGTTTTTGTTAACTGCCCACTAACTGTTAATTAAATTGTTTTTCTAATCTGAAGGAGTGACCGCATCTTACTGGTTCGTTTGTTTTTACAGGTGTGCGCTTGAATACAGCCCTTACATCAAACGACTCTGACGTGCCTGCGCGTCCCATTTATATATTCTTTTTTTTTAATCGCGATATTTGAGTGACTCTCGGTGCCGCGGTACTTCGACTTGCGATAGAGAGAAATGTTACGTGGAACTGTTCTTCGGGGAAATATCGTCATCGTAGGAATATAGCTGTAGGCTGCGTACCTTCCGTTCAAAGCCGAAATTGAGCATCGGCGTCGAAGTCGTTTTGGTTCGTTCACCTGAGAAGAAGTGCTTTGAACATACCCGAGTACCCGCGGAAGGTACAAAGTTTTTCGTGTTTAAGTTTGCAAGCCATAGAAGCCGCTGCTCCTCGTCAATAGGAAAACGATGCAACTTAAAGAGTCCACAGCCACAAAAACTCCGCGTCTGCGGTGACGCACATGGCGTATTTTTTTCCGACAGCTGTTCTTTCTTCCGGTAGTTGTTACTGCACCCAAAAACAGCGCAGTGGTTCCCTGATGACCATTTTTCGCGCCATCATAGAAACGAAAAAAAAACTAAAATTCACAGGTTGGCTTGACACACGGCAAATTTCTCGATAACGCCGCACATACCAGCATCAACACACACACTCTAAGCCGTCGCCTGCGTACCGGAGAGGAGGAATGCGTTGGTTGCCAGACCGGACCTCCTAGCCCGATACAAAAGGTCTGTACCTGAAGTTGCTAGCATATGATTTCACACAGAGTATCGCGAATCCCACGCAAAGATGACACCACAAGCACATAATAAACGATGGCACACGATATGCACTTCTTCAAAACGTGGTTAAGAAGAGAAACAACTCAGTGTGCGCTCCCGAGTAATACGGTAATCTATACCTGTGCTCATGCGTACACTGTATACCACACTGCGCTTCAACACGTGAGGCACAGTTTCTCAGCTTGAGCAGCCAGCACACGGAGGCATTTCCCGTCCCTCTGGCCCTTGTCTCGATCCGCGAAGGCACGAATTCACCCGTCGACATCATTGCCTTTCTGCGGCACTTATTGCAACAGTTTCAATAGTCGGTGCTATCGCACTCAAAGCAGGCGGTAGCGCAGAAACGCAATTGGTGTATAAAGAACCTACACTACTCCGACAAAGAGCCACCTCAAGCTAACACAAAGCGAAAGGCAAAGAACTAACTGCGTCTAGGGCGACCTCCTGATGCTAGCGCGGTTCTTCTCTGGTATCAACGCACTTTAACCATGTCCTCCGATATCACCAATTGCGAAGGTTATGCCGTAACTGCACCGTCGATGAACCGTGCCTCATGGGTGCTAGAAAGTGTCATGACGCATTCCTTTATCCGCCACTCACAGACGGCGGCTCCACTCCGCTGCAACGAGGGTGTCTCGATGCTGCATCGAAGCACACAAGCTGCGCCTCGCCATGCCAACAGAGAGAAGCAAGCGAGAGCGAATTTGTGAGAGATATAGGTCGTGTTTGTAAAGAATCATGCGTCATCCACGGTAGCTCAGGCAACCGAGCATTGGGCGCACATCGTAACGGCCCGTAAAGTTGTAGGCTCGATTCCGGCGGCGGAACTTTTTCTTAGTTCCTTCTTTATCTGTTGGCGTCCATTTCAACGTCATATTCGTGACAAAAATACGTCACGAATGTCTTGGTGGTCGCCAGTACAAAACATTTCCGTGTTAACAAATAAACATGCTGACGCCTAGTGTAGCTTATTGAGAGGAGCATATTCTAGGTGTAATTAAGAATATAGAATAATTTTTTCCTGCTTTCAAGTCTATGAAGAATGCACACAAAATGGCTGAGCTGCAGTCACCAAAAGATCAGAAAAGATAAAACAGGATCACCTTGTTTTTATTGTGGTGATGGTGAAAAAAATCATGCCGCAACCAATTAATCATGATCAATTATCACGAATGAACCGTATTTTCGCAACACTGCACAATTTTAAAATGACCATACGCAAGCGCAATAAGGGTGCCGCTTTATCGAACGATTTCGAGTGATTCAATTAAGGCAGTGCCACATTAGCACATAAAAATAAACATACAAGTGCAAAAGTCGGCGGCAGTCCTGGCATTTTTTGCTCCACTATACGGTTCTACATTGTGGTTAACACCTTACAACGCGAATAATATCAAGGGCAAGTTTGACGAGAAGACAAACACGGTCGCTGACGGTCAGTCACATTCAGCACCATTATGCCATAACCATACAGATCGTAAGACTATCTCAATGACGCCATTTTACGCACATTCTTCATAGACCTGAAAGCAGGAGAAATTATTCTACATTTTCCTTGCAAGTATTACTCGGCTTTTGGGCATTCCGGCATTACATGCAACACCATTTAGCATTAAATAAATGACCACGTGTATTGCCGACGTTAAGCAGGATGGAAGACACCGCACCAGTTGCCCTCAAGTGAGTTTCATTGTTGGGCCCTTGCAGAAAACCGATCCTTGGATGACGCCGAGCCCGTGGCGCTGCACTACACGCTTCTCGGCCAGGGAGTGCCCATCGTGGCGTTCAGCGAGGTACAGTCGAACGCGCTCAAGAACGCAGACTTCTGCCAGCTGCTGCAAAAGCTCGGCGTTGACTGGTCGGGACCCACAAACTGCCCCTGCATCCCGGCCACATGGGCCACCGACAAGTTGTACACCACAGCACGCAAGCTAGGACCACTCACGTGCCGGAAGCTGTCCAAGCTCTGCCAGGAAGGTGCGGACTGTAACCCCACCAGGGCGGTTCCCCCTCGCACCCAAGCCGGTGCTGCTGCCAGCTCGTAGGCCCATGCACTCTCTCCGACCAGTTTGTTCCAGCTGCAATACATCATTACCGGGATTTCGTCCCTCTCCAAGTGTACGCGATCTTGAGGATCGTGCACACCGTGTGTACAGTAGGACCCCATTATGGCGTAACACCGCATAACAGTGTATACGCACGCTTTGAAAGGCAAAAATGACGTGGAATCTCTGATGCCGTAGCGCTGCAGAAACGCACACTATACACACTGAAGCAGGCGCCACAGGCTGCAATCAAAGCTTAGTTCACGAGGAAAAGACAGTTTTCGTCTCGTGGAGACGGTTTTGTGCGCAAGCTTCCAACATTGGCTGCCGGCTCTGTACGTCGGTTTCGGTCCGGACGCTTCCAATCCTCGTCAATGCACGCAGCTCACCGATACATATGCTTGTAGGCTTGGGTAATTGGCGACATGATAAATCGCTAAATATTGAAGCGTTCCTGGCCAAAGAGTTTATCAGTAGTGAATATATCTAAATTACAGTAACAATCCCGGTTGATGCGCTATAATGGGGCCTGCTGTATGCCTACCAGAGAAGTTGACCCGTAGGCACAAGAGTGTGTTTATGTCACTCGCTGCCGCTTAAAATTCACTGTTGCGAATTGTGAACACTTTATAAAAGAAGAAGAGACAGCCACCGCTGTCACGCACATGGTCTGCAACAAGTGCACCACATGCATTTCAAGAGAGAGCGCTATTGGTGTTAGTCAAACGTGCTAACGAGCAGTGACAAAGTTCAAGTTGACGGGAAGCATCTCAAGATGACGCACTAAAATAAGGCATAAAGTAGCAAACGAATGCTGGAGGAATCATGCTATTGAAGTATGCACTTCGCTTTAAGTTTATTACTGAAACAATGAAGTACGTATCCGTAAAAATTTGCGAGTCGGTGTCTTCCCACTGAAGTGCTACTATAAGTTAGAAAACTCACTTTCAAAAATGCAATAAGTGGTCAGCTGAGACCATGGGCTAGAACCAAGTCAAGAATGTCGGATTGGTCTTCCAGCACGGGTACACATTCCTGTAGTACAAAAAGCTGCCAATCGTGCGCGGAGCACAGCAATATGCTGATTTCGGCAAAACAGGAATTTATGTCACGGATCTTTTCCTCAAGAAAACAAATGCGAGCCGGACCTGTTTCGTGAGCTAATGTGACTTTCATGACCTTGGATTAGTAAATTACGTTCGAGTCCAGTATATAAATATCGGGAAATGCAACGACCCTTACTGTGCAGTGTGTTATAAGGGGCACCACAGCGGCGGAATTCGGATAAAAATGTGGCCAAGGAGCAAACCCACGACCTTGCACATGGAGTTCAAAGGAGGTCAGCCCTCACCAGAACTGGGACTAACCGAAAAATACGCAAAATAGGCATACACAAGTAATTCAGGCCATACTTGAACTATTGCAATTATACGAGGTCTATGTACGAATGCATCTGAAGTAGTTTGGCTGTACCGAGATGTTCACAGGTCCAATTTAGCAAGCCTTAAGCTAACTGCATCAAAAGAATTGTAGCACAATTTTTCTCGCTATTGCCGAATCTTAATTTACTGTGCTACAATGAAAGTGCCACGGTGGAGGAACGTGTATTTCCAGTGAAAACAGCCAGCGCAAAAACTCTCACGCTCTAATTATCAAGCTTTGATTCGTTCCGTACACATAGCCTTTTTACTCACTAACGCTGAATTCATATCTGAACCCAGTACTGTATTAAACGCGACCCGACAGCTCTCTACACGTCGGGACGCGTCTCGATCATCGGACGATTTTAGTTCTGATCATGCGCTGTGCAACTCTCCACTGAAGCTAGTAACGGCAGCACCAGAACACAGTGTGGTCAAAGCAAAATGGTAGGATTATTGGATCTAGTTGGCTGTGCAGATTGAATGGAAATGTGTAATTGAACACCAAAAAAAAAAGCGCTGAAAAGGCACACATGACCTGTATGAAAAGCGCTTGTCCACGTATGTCATGGGTGTCGTTACTGTAGCACGTTTATATTTGAGGAAACTGAGGGCAGGCATGCAGTGTGCATCCACATTGACACCTTTTCCGATAGAGCATCTCGTGTCCTATAAAATGAAAGCGTCGCAGTGCCCTCTGGCAAGTGCAGCCGCGCTAACAGCTGAATAGCTCACAAGTCTTGGCATGCATACGTGAAATCTAAGACCATCCGATCGGCGGGTTCGATTTCTTGACTGCTCACTGGCCCAAAATAATGTTGATTTATTATCAGATGAACTGACACGGGAAAATAAACCTTAATGAAAATTTCCTGCGATGTCGGAAAAAAATATGCGAGCCCTCATCTGGAACTGGCTTCCTGAAGCCACCTGTAGGTGCATCGTTGCAAAGACAATACTTAGCACTCTTCCGGAAATGCCGCCGTGGTACGGACACAATCTTTGTTGGTGGACTGTAAATACCTAAAAACGAGAAGCCCTCACCGCATACAATCGCGAAACGAGGCTTTGTGCATGTCTCTACGTATGTGAAATGTGAACGAAATATTGTGCCACAGACCTTTCAAGTTTTATTAGTGATACCACCAACGACATAATAAAAATGTGATTTGTGTCATCAACTAAAGCTATGTCTATTGAAGACGTCTAAACTGATTTATTACCCGCATACCATTGAGAACGGAAAGACTAAAACTTGACGGCATACAATTATCTCATTTACAAATGCATCTTGAACAGATTGAACAGTCTCGAGCAGTTCATAAGAGTTTGCTTTTGGAACATATTGTTGAGGAACAGAAGCTGGGACATAATTTCTCGAAGTTTAGAGCTTGTGCCTCACGCCTCGACATTACAATTGAAGAAGCCTTTATGGAGCTATATTTCGTAATGATTCTGACATTTTTTCCCCCATTCATCTGCTTGCACGCCACAGTATTGACATTGCCACAAATGTCACCTACACAGCGCAAGAGACATCGCACAAATAGAGATGGAGGGAAAATATTTCTTCAAAAACAAGTGACCCATGATGTAAAGTACTTATCCTAAATTCACTTAGCATCACGGCGCAAACTGTGGTTTCTTTCAATTAACGACATCGTCGTCTCAGCCAGTCAAGATGATTTGTTCTTTAAGGCACTGGATCACAGTGAGAATGAAATGATTAGAGTGCTCTAAGCACACAAAAGGCAAGTGAACTTTACAGCAAGCGAGCAGCTGCATAATCATACTTATTTTCTCCCTCCTTGCAATAAAAGGACACTGCTGATTAATACTGTAAAACTACGCTATTACAGTCAGACCCTTAACAAGGCGTAGCAATATAAATTATTCAACTCCATGTGGGTAGTGATTATCGCAGAACGCTCCTCTAACTCAGCACAATTTACAAAGAACAATACAAGAACACTTTGTAAGTCCATAGTGTTTTCTTCTTTGTCTTAAGTAGCAATATGATATTGCTTTTGCAAGGTACAGCTTGAGCATATACATGTATTTGTACGAGTCTTTTCTCAAGCTTGAAAAAAAAAAAGATTTTGCGAGTCGTATTAAACCAATGCCATTCAATCGAGATGACCTTGCTGAGGCACGTGTTAGATGTGCGAATGCGCCTGTGCTAGACGAACAATGTTCTTGTTTAACAAAGCAAAGACAAATGACCTATTGAACGTTTGCACCAAGAGCAGTGCGACTCTTGTAAGTACTAATATAGGCATGATGTATTCCTGAAATGTGCTCCATTTTGAACTCTGCAAACCTACATCTTCATGGTGCAGCGCAGAACTGCTGAGAAAGGATCCATATAACAGACCTAGCGTGAAACTGTATGTGTGTATTTTTATTTGCTCTTTCTTTATGCCCATATACATATATAAATACGTGTGTACGTACTTTTTACACTACATGTGTTGTTGGAAATCCACAGGGTGTATAGAGCTACATAAATTGCAACGAAAGAGAAAATATACAAAAGATGCAAACTTGGCCCATCGAAAAGCAATGCATGTGTACAGTATATGCAACCATGCAATTCACATTTTTCTGAGCAAGCATGTATGCTAACATCCCAGTTTCACAAGCAGATAAGCCTCAGTCGTGCGTTTGTAAAAACAAAAGCATATTTGTATCCTCCTTTCAAATTTACGTGGCTCTGTATCACATGTGCACTCTACACAGGCCTAACCCTCTATACAGTTAAGGTCTACACTTCAGGACGCCTCTTTTGCTGAAGCAGCACAGACATCAAGTCTATACTTTTAGTGCACAACGCAAATGAATATAGGCATATGAACAACATTCAAAGACCATATGTAGAACAGTGCAAAAGAAATGTGTGGATATGATACCTGACCCAGTTAACATGCATGCCTGCCCATAATATATTCTCATAAACATTACAAATGTGTAATTCTCATCTTAGATGATTGTGTCAAACGTTACTTACACTGGAACTTGGCAGATGGCTGAGCCATTGATTTCTTCTGTGTTTCTGTGTTCATTTAGAATTGCGGATGTTTCGTTTTGTTTCTGTGTCAACATATACGATGGATGGCTACTTGCACAATATGATGTATGTCTCTTATGTGTCACGATGAATAAAAATGTATGTGACGTGCAATGCATTTTCAGCAACATTTTTATTCCTAGTTCAAAACAATAGGAATTCAGTAGTGATTCAATTTCAAGGTCTATTGTAGGAAACATCTCTCGCGTTAAACAATCTGAAGAAAACTTCCAAAGCGACAAAAAGAAACAGGAAACATATAAGGAATCTCGACCACATCCAATGCCCCCAAGTATAAATAGCTGTTGTGACTAAGCATTGCGCACATGAGCGCAACAGAGCTGTGTGCTAAAATGCATCGCAAACCAAGCCTTGGTCACTAAACTTGCTGCAATACCTTCACAAAGATCCCTCGCCTAGTCGCGTATGCATAGCGTACAGAAAACGAAGGTTTACAGCGTCAGTACTGGCCTGCCCGTGACGCTATTGCACTCGAAGCTTACATGCATCAC